CATTACCTGCTAAAGGTAAACATACCCTGTAACTCAGTGATTTCCCCCAAAAGGCCTGAATGTTTATAGAGTATAACAGCCCAAAACTGGAAACATTTTATACATCCAGAAGGAAATACAACTCCATAGGGCAACATGGATGAATCTTAAATACATTGAATAAGACACAGAAAATTATTCTTTTGAACTAATAGTTCAGAAATAGGGCATCCCTGGTGGCACAGGGGTTAAAGTCTCAGCACTATCAAGCTATCACCAGCCACTGCGGCATGAGTTTGATCCCCGGCCAGGGAGCTACCCACATGGCACAGCAGTCCTCACCTGTCTTGCCCACCACTCCCCTCAGCAATGTATTTCAGTATATCTGCCTGTTCTGCTCCCCACTCTCTGGTGAATCCTCTCACCCCTCACATCTCTGGCCTACACCCCAGTTCTTGTATGCATAAATAAAGAAAAATAAATCTTTTAAAGTTCAGAAATAAACAGAATGGTTTGTGCCATGAGAAGGTCTGGTAGTGGTTCCTTGACAGGGATAGAGCAAAGGGCATAAGGGGCCTCTCAGTGCTTAATGATTTCCTGTTGACCCATAGGCTTGATTACACAATGATTCCACTTGAGAAATTTACATTTAAGATTTGTTCAGTTTTCTGTATATATAGTTTATAAACCATATATATATATTGTTTTACAAACTAAAGAAATGATCACTACATGACTCATACAAGCACAACTTAAAATTTTTATCCTTTTACATGAGCCAGAGCAGATACTTCGATACCTCCGAATGTTGCATCGCATAAAACCTAAACTAGCTCCCCAAGTCAAACATTTCCCCTGTTCCTCAACAACTGTTTGAAATTTTTAAGTTTAAAGTCTATGCAGCAGTATTTCTAGAATGAAAGTATTTATGCATGATGTGCACGCCAGAGGGCACTGTGGTGCAAAATGAAGCTCCAGATAAAAGCCTTTTAAGGCTTCTGTCAGGACTGATAGGCTATCAGCTTGCAAAAATATGCTTTCCTATTGCTAAGAAATTTGTTTTACAGAGCAGTATAAAGTCAGTACACAGCTCAGCGACTCGGTCCATCCTAAGCATTGTTTTATTTATTCCATATTAACTAGGCATAAATTGTTGACTAGGAATAAACAAGTTTAAATGATTTTTGAATGTATAGCCTACAACTTTAAAGTTTTATTCTAAAATGCAACTTCATTTACCTTTAATATCCCACTCTATTGACCAAGACCAGTTCTGCATATTGACTCCCAGGCTCCTTCCCCACACAGGTGCAGTGAGACTGGGATACTGTACCTGCCAAAACTTGCTCCTGCCAGTCACAAGTTTACCAGTGGCTTCCTGAATGTCAAGTACAACAAACACTTCGCAGCATTTGTCTTGCGGTGGTGTAGGAGAAATACTCTAATTTCTCCCCATTCCTTAAGGCTCTGTGCCTCTCTGACTTTCATGATAATGCTCCTCATTCCATCCTCCTTGTGTCTTTCTGAATTTTCTTTCTGTGGCCCCCCACCCCCCTTTAAAATTAGGGCTCTCTCTGGTTTTCCGGTTCTTGCATCCTTTCCTACTGATAGCTTCAAGATTCTTATCTATAGTCACAGCTTCACCCCCTAGAGCTTCTATCTGTATTTCCAGCTTCTGAATAATCTGTGAAGTTCCCCTCTTGAACACCCCATTATCACTCAAATGCAATATATTCTAATATAAACTCATCAGTATCCCTCAAATTTGTTTCTCCCATGTTCTCCACCATCCACTGAAACCCCCCAGCCAGGAAAAAAAAAGTCATTATTAATCTGCCGCCCCTGCTTCTACTCAATCCTCACTTTCTCTCCCCTTCTCCCTAATTCCAGTTCCATCATCTGCCTTTTCGAGACCTTGCTTCCAGTTTCATATCACCCACCTTCCCACGTTCACATTGAAGCCTCTCCACAGCATCCAAAGTGAGTCGTTCAAAACACAGCTTTTAATATAACTTAAAATTTGTATTCTTTACAACTACCTTAGTGACTGACTCCCTGCACCACTCATACCAAAGCCCCAAACCCCTAAATGACTCTTTAGTGCCTATAGGACAAAGTCCTACCTTACTGGTAAGTCCTCTTTTGCAACAAAAGTCTTCCTTTATCTACTCCTGATCATGGTTCCAGGCTCAATACTCATGTCCACCTTAGCCTTGCACTTGACCCTCTAGCAGACCCGCCTGCTTAACAGTTTCCCAGACACACAGTGCTCTTCATGTATTTCCTCAAGCAGACACCCTCTGCTGAAAGACCTCTTCCTATGCTCTCTCTCCTTATGACTCAAGTCATTGACTCAGGAAATCTTTTCCTCCCTGTAAGCCAGTGAGACATTCTACCACACCCTTCCAAGTCAGGATCTGGAAGTAATCAAAATGTCCATCAATAAACAATTAGATCAAGGTGTGTTTGTCCTATTCAGTCATAAGGGAAGATGAAATGCAGCCATTTTCAACAAAATAGGAATTGGAGAGAATTCTGTGTAATGAAGTCAGAATAGAAACAAATACTGAATGTACAATATAATTCAAGAATATAAAATACTTTCAAAAAACCAGTGGACAGAGCTGGTTAAAGAGGGAGGGAAAGACAAGGGGCTTTAAGAGATGGTAGTGGGAAAAAGACTAAAATAAAATACAATTCTTTATACTTACACTCCAAAGATTAAAAAAGTTAAATGTTTGAACCTTTGTAGAACCTTCCTAGAGTTCAGCGTTAGGTATGATCTAAAAGCGATGATCCTAGAGTTGTTTTCAATTCTGGTCATATGTTAGAATTATATAGAAAGCTTTCAAATGAAAGTTCACTGATACTTCCTCAGTGAAGATGTAGTTAATTCAGCAGCTGCCCTATACCCTGACATAGGGACTTGTTGCATAAAGTGTAAAAAGAGTCACTGGCTTAGGGCTTCCCTGGTGGCGCAGGCGGTTGAGCGCTGTGCTGTGAAGCTGTCCGCAGCCTCTGCAGTGTGGGTTCGATCCCGGCCGGCCACATGGCGCAGCAGACCTCTCCTGACTCACCCGCTGCTCCCTTCAGCAGTGTATTTCCTCAGTCTGCCTGTTCTGTTCTCCACTCTGACTCTGGTGAATCATCTCACCCTCCCACATATCTGGCCTGTACCCCAGTTCTTTTTTTATTTTTTTATTTTTTTTATTTTTATATAGAGGCATGTTTTCTTTCTTTCTTTCCTTCTTTGTTTTTGTTTATACATGCACTGGGTACAGTCAGAAGCGCGGGAGGGTGAGAGAATTCACCAGAGCCAGAGCGGGGAGCAGAGCAGGCAGAAGGACCGAAGTACACTGCTGAGGGGAGCAGCGGGCGGCAGGAGAGGTCTGCACGCCATGTGGGACCCTCCTCCGGTGGCCGGGGAGCAGCCGGGGATCGAACCGGCGCTGCAGAGGCTGCGGGCAGCTTCGCAACCCAGCGCTCAACCGCTGCACCACCGGGGAGGCCCGTGTACCCCAGTTCTTGTATACATAAATAAATCTTTAAAAAAAAAAGTCACTGGCAAAAGTTGCTGATCAATAAGAGATACTAATGAGACCTGCAAGTGAGATGGGAGTTAGGGTGCCTCAGTCTAAGAATGCAGAACATAAGTAGGAGTACCGAAAGGAGCAATAAAGGGAATTCATAGCAGTTGTCCCAAAACAGGTGCAGGAAGTAATGCAAATCAAGCCTTTGGAAAGCCCTGGCTGATGTCCAATGCACCCTCCCTCCTGAAAGCCTGGCCTAACCAGGTGGCGCGCTAGCAGTGAATACCACAAATACCATCACAGGGTATAGTAGAATATTACTCTAAAGACAGCTTGCATCATAGGTTCATAATTCAGTTAAGAGGTCTTGGCTCATAAAGCTAACTTTCCTGCAGTTAAGGAGACCCTCACATAGGTATCAGTAAGGGAACTTGGTCACCTTTTCCAAGGTAAGTTTTTGTTCTGCTTGAAAACAATTTCATCTGTGAGTGTTCCCTTAGAAGCTGGTGTATTTACCTGTTTTTGTTGTTGGGATTTGGAAGGGGTGAGTGAAGAGGTTCCTCTCCTAGACACCACAGTTAGGTAGAATCTACAAGAGATGATTCTGGAATTGTTCTTAATTCTGGCCATATGTTAGAATTATCTGGGAAACTTTAAAGCAAACAAAAATACCAATGTTTGGGATCAGAACTCTTAAGGGGGGACCCTAACATCTGTATACACAGAAAACTCCCGGGATTATTCTAATGCCTGGCCAGTGCCAAGGCTGTAGAGTTCTAGCTTGATTACCGCGTAGATTATTAGTTTCGAGGTCTGACCTAACAATGCTCAAACTTTCTTGTGCCCCAGAGTTGCCTGGGCGCTGTTTAGAAGGCAGGTGTTCAGCCTTCAGTCTGAGCGATTCCCAGAAGATCCTGCTTGTTCAACGCCTAGGAATCTTCATTTTATCAGTCAAAAGTGGCCTGAGAGAAGGCTCGGGAGAACAGCTGCGGGACGATTATGGTCCATGGAGAAGGGCTGTGGAAGAGGGGAAAAGGCAGTTTCATGAGTATAAATCCTAAATGCCGTCTTTCGTGGCTCCTCTACTCCGGGCAGCTTGGGCCGGGGCCCCCGCAGGGCGAGGCGTGAGTGTGGCCAGGTGCCTGGCGGAGGGGGTGACCTGCAGCGGCCGCATCGCCGCTTTCTGCTTTCGGGGCCGCTTCCCCACGAGCGCGCGGCGGCCCTGCAGAGGGGCCGTGGCCGGCGATGGGGGGCAGCGTCGGGGCGGGCGCGCGCACCGTGGCGCTGGGTGTCCGGACGCGGCCCCGGCCTGGCCTCCGCGCGCTCGTGGCACCGCCTCCTCCCCGCGCGGCCCGCGCTGCCCGGGGCGGGGACTCCGCGCGGCGGAGGCGGGAGACGCTGGCGCTGGACGCGGCGCGGGGCGCGGGGCGCACGGTGCGGCGCGGGCAGGAGCCTGAGGCCCGCGGCAGCGGCGGAGTGGCCGGGGGCCTGCGAGCCGCGCCCGCCGCGCCTAGGGGCCGCCGGAGTCGCGGCCGGAGGTGAGTGGGTGGCGTGGGCCCGGCGCGCCTTCTCGCCGCGCGGCCGCCCAGGCTGCCTGCCCGCCGTGGCCCCTTCTCCGCCCGGGCCGCGCGGGTCCCCGGAGACCCCCCCGTCGGGCTCCCGGGCTGCCGCCTGTGGCCGGAGTGGGCTGGGGGCGGGCGCTCCACCTCCCGGCACCGGATCTCTTGCCCCAGGCGGCCGCGAGCCCCAGGTGTCGCCCCCCGGCCTCCGCGAGGGGTTGGCGAGGCTTTGCGCCTTGGCGAAGGCCGGCCCGGGAAGAGCGGGGGTCCTTTTTGTTCTGAGCTTTGTCACCCGTGTGCAGCCAAAGTCAAAAGCGGGCGTTCCCCAAGTCACACTAGTGCCAGGCCTGCGGGCGTGCTTTGCACGGAGGGAGGGATGCTCGCTACGCCCCTGTGCTCCCGGCACCCTCGGGCGCGCTGCGGGGGGCTGGGGCCCACGTGTCAGCGCGGGCACCCCGGCAGGTGACGGGCTGCTGGGCGCCGGGGCTGCGGGCCGCGAGCCTCTGGGGCACCCTCGGTGTCCGCATGGATGATGCCCCCAGGACCCTCTGTGCCCGTGTTTGTCTACCCTTGGCCTTGTGGGAATCCACGAAACTTTTGCTCTGCTGGAAAAATAGTCTCTTGGGTTTATATACTTTATATTCTACGCCGTATTTAGTATTTTTGATGATTCTTGGTAAAAATTGGGAAAAAATATCTGTTTTAATAAATGTACTTTTTAGCAGGGTTTAAAAGCCATTATTTTGATTGTCTGATGATGCCAGTTATTTTCAGATGTTCCATTCCCAAGTTTACATGAGCAAACCTTACGGTTTTTAGATTTCCTTTGTCTGGTTTGCGTCTCTGAGACGATACAACCTGAAATTATGCAGATGTGGAACATTCCTAGGGGCAGATTATTAAGCTGTCCAACCACCCCATGAAATATTTAACGGCTCTAGAGTGACTCTGCTGTGGGCTCATGGCTATCAGATTGGCTCTAATTGGGGCACTTTTAATATTTCTGAATTGCTTGGAGCATGGGAGGAAGCAGTGGAATCTCCCCTTCCTTATGGGCTTCCTAAGGCGGTCTGACTCCTATTTGTGTCATAAAAGATTAAGCTGGTCCTATTCAAAAGAATAATTTTACTTTATTTGTATATATAAATCCGTAACTTGCTAAGACTAAAGTGTTCTTGGGCCGAACTCAATTTTCAAAGTGTCAGTGGTTAAAACATTGAATTATTGAATTCTAAAAAAAACAGAAAAATTCTAAAGAGTGCGTGCGCACGCACAGGAAAACACATGCACACACTTAGAAAGGCTAAATCTTCAGAGGCGTATTTTGTCTTATGGATAGGTCCTAAGTTTTGCTCAAAAATGAAGTGTCATGAGGGGCAGGGGACGGCATGGGGTGGGGGGTCAGACTGCTGTGACTTTGCTGCTTGACAAGGATGCCATCTGCTTTCTACTGCTGGTCGTTCGTCTAGTTCTTGATGGGGGAAAAAAGATTTTGCGTTTACATTTTTTTCTTTTTGTGGAGGTGGGGAGAGGGAGGGAGGCAGAAACAGTGAGGATGGTTGAGGGGTTCCCCCAAAGCTTCCTTCAGCCCTTGTGTATGTCCACCTTCCCTCAGATCTTACAGAGAATCCTGTGCAAGTGCAGTCTGCCCTTCTGCATCCAAGCACAGGGGCAGAAAGGCAGAGGCTGGAGAAGCGCCTCTGCGGGAAGAATTTAAGAATGGAGCATCACTTCTGCAGGCCGTGCAGGGAGGGGAACAGGACCCGTGGTGGCACATTAGGGGAGCTTGAAGGAGTGTGGTCCCCAAGACCAGTCCCATTTCTAAAATGGTGGTTGGGAGGGGTGAGTTGAATTATTGTTGCTATTCCTTGTTTTCCTTAGGAAAAAAGTTGCCTTGGGAAAATGTTAGAAATAACTTTTCAAACAATTTAAAATTTTTTTCTAAACATTTGCAAAAGTGGGAGTTAGAACAGTCTTGCTCTGCTTTTCTCTTACCTTCGAAAATCGTGCGTGAGCTCTCTTTTGCCCTCTCTTACACTGTGGTCATTTTCTTCTCTAGACGTTTAAAGTTACTGATGAAATTACTTGAAAGAGATACTTGGCTTGAAGTTAAAGTATATCCTAAATTCTTAGAGTCTACTTTGCTTCATACAGAAATTCCTCACAATTTCAGGGGAAAAAATGCCATGCCTTCTCAGGCTCTTTACATTTTTATCCTGTTTTTCTTTAAAACCCTTGAAGCCATAGTAGAAGAGCTAACCTTAGGTAAGATCTTGAAGATTAACTAGTTCCTAATAGCAATAAAAAATGCGCACACACACACAAAGTATACATTTAAAAACATTAAAAATAAAAAGTATAGAGGAGTATAGAGTGTAGTAAAAGTATGCATTTAAATATATATGTACTATATGATTATAGTGATATATCTATATATTTGCCGTGTTTTCCAAACTTTTTAAATCATTCTCATTATTTTGACTTGTTTTATATCAGTTATGATTACTTGATCATAGTTTTTTGTCCTGCCCTGTTGGTTTGCCCACACTTGATGTTTAATAGTATAACTTTAATTTGTGCTTTTTCTAGCACAATTGAAAACTTCCTGTTCTTCATAAGGCTCAGTTTTGTTATGATTTCTCACCCTACCCCACTGTGTACACATGAAGGCAAAGGAAGGGGCCCTCATGCACTCTTGTGGTGGTGAGTTGAGGTCCTCCTTAGGGATGCAGTGAGGGTGCAGACTCAGCTTTTGCTTTTAAAGATTTATTTATTTATGCATACAAGAACGGGGATACAGGCCAGAGGTGTGGCTGGGGAGAGAATTCACCAGAGACAGAGTGGGGAAAGAAACAGGCAGATTGACTGAAATGCACTGCTGAGGGGAGCAGTGGGGGAGACAGGAGAGGTCTGCTGTGCCATGTGGGTAGCTCTCTGCCCGGGGATCGAACTTGTGCTACAGTGGCTACGGACAGCTTCATAGTGCTGTGTCTTAACCCGTTGTGCCACCAGGGAGACCCCACAGCTTTTGCCTTTAGCACTGTTAGTCTTTTATGGATGTATAACATAATTGGTGTCATGTGAAATAGTGTAAAATAGTATAATTTTTAAAAAAGATTTATTTATGCATATAAGAACTGGGGTACAGGCCAGAGATGCGGGGTTGGGGATGAGAGGATTCACCAGAGACAGAGCAGGGAACAGAACAGGCAGACTGACCGAAATACACTGCTGAGGGGCACAGCGGGTGAGACAGGAGAGGTCTGCCTCGCCATGTGGGTTGCTCCCTGGCCAGCCGGGGATTGAACTCGTGCTGCAGAGGCTGCAGATTGCTTCATAGTGCTGTGCTTAACCCCTTGTACCACCAAGGAGGCCCCAAAATAGTGTAATATATCGTTTTATTATAGGTATTATTACATTACTTGAATCACAGTTCCTATCTTATTGGGGGGAATCAAAATAATATAATGGGGCCTCCCTGATGTTGCAGGGGTTAAAGTCTCAGCACTATCAAGCTATGGCCAGTCATAGTGGTATGAGTTTGATCCCCAGCCAGGGAGCTAACCCACATATGGCATGGCAAACCTCTCTTGCCTGCTGCTCCCCTCAGCAGTGTATTTCTTTCTTTTTTTTTTAAGATGTATTTATTTATGCATACAAGAACTGGGGTGTAGGCCAGAGGTGTAGGGGGTGAGAGAATTCATCAGAGACAGAGTGGGGAACAGAACAGGCAGATCTGCTGAAATACACTGCTGAGGGGAGCAGTGGGCGAGTCAGGAGAGGTCTGCTATGCCATGTGGGTCACCTCCCTGGCAGGGGATCGAACTTGTGCTGCAGTGGCTTCGGGCCGGGTAGCTTAATAGTGCTGCATCTTAATCCCTTGCGCCACCAGGGAGGCCCCTCAGCAGTGTATTTCGGTAGATCCAGTTGTTCTGCTCCCCACTTTGTCTCTGGTGAATCCTCTCAACCACCGCACCTCTAGCTTACACCCCAGTTCTTGAATGCATAAATAAATAAAATAAATCTTTAGGGGCCTCCCCTGGTGGCACAGTGGTTGAGCGCTGGGTTGTGAGGCTGCCCGTGGCCTCTGCAGTGCCAGTTCGATTCCCGGCTGCCGGCGAGGGTCCCACAAAAAAAAAAAAAAAAAAAAAAAATCTTTAAAAGAAAATAAACCTCTAGGCTTTTCTCCCAACCAGGTATAGTTGTCTATACCCTGTGAAGTGCATGTACCCACCTGGTCTCTTCCTTCACCCTGATGCTTCTTTCCCTTGCTTGTCAGAAGAACTCCCTGAAGATAGATATTATTGATTTCATCCTTTTCTTTAAAAAAAAATAAATAAATTGGGCCTCCCCTGGTGGCGCAGCAGTTGAGCACTGGGCTGCGAGGCTGCCCGCAGCCTTTGCAGTGCCGGTTCGATCCCCAGATCCCCGGCCACCGGCAAGGGTCCCACATGGCGCGCAGACCTCTCCTGCCGCCCGCTGCTCCCCTCAGCAGTGTACTTCGGTCCTTCTGCCTGCTCTGCATCCCGCTCTGGCTCTGGTGAATTCTCTCACCCTCCCGCGCTTCTGACTGTACGCAGTGCTTGTGTGAATAAATAAATCTTTAAAAAAAAAAATAATAAGTTAACTGAGACTAAAAAAGGTCAAGTAATACCACACCCATCCCTTCTCGTTAAGTACTTACCTGGTGGCAAGAAAGTGCTCTCATTTAATTTTCATACCAGTCTTAGGAGAGACACCAGGACCATGGCTCTGGCAGAACAGGGATGCCCGCCCGGCACTCTCCGCCGGCGTACTTGCCCCAGCTCAAGCAGAGGACCGGGTTTGCTCTTTGTTCCTTGGCAACAGGGCTCTTTCTTGCCACTTTTTGTTGCAGAATAGAAGAGACTTCGAATGTATTTCAATGAGTTCATTGTTTTTAATTGTTTTGCTTTTAATGAGGAAGCTATAAAATACTGTGATTAAATCTGGGACTACTA